TTATTTTTTATACACTATTATGTCAGTTTGCTGCTAAACTCTATGTTCATAAGATTTGTGTATAAATTAATTTTCCATACTGTGCATGATCAGGTTTAGCTTTGAGATTTTATAAACTTTATGAAATTGATTAGGTGGCTTGCTTTCTTTTCGATTCTCTGAAAGTTTACAATTGGAATTATCGGTTTCTTGATATTTTGATAAAATTCACCTTTAAATTGTCTTTTGGTGAGATGTCCTTAGGATTATTGATTCCCTTAGTAGTTATTGGTTGATTTAAATTGCCAACATCTCTTAGATGAATCCATTTCTTTTACATTTTCAAATTTTTGATCATAAAGTTAATAGTATTCTTATGATTATTTTCAATCTCTGTTTGTAGTTGTATCTTCTTGTGTTTATGTAAATACTGTTCATCGGGGCCTTTTTTCCCTGATTGGCCTTGCTACTGATTTCTCTGGCAGTATCCCTCTTGATGCCGCTTACAAAGGCTCCCCGGAGGTACCGCCTCCAGCTACTTGCTGCCACACCTACCCTAACAGCCTTTGCTCATTTACTGCTTTATACTTTAAAAGAAACCCATCGGTTTAGTAGTGTAGTTTTGCTACTCCTTTCAACTTCTTTTCTTCTGTATTTTGTCCTTTTGCTAGGTTTCTTGTGCTGGTTACTACCTATAGTTTTCTTTATTGTACTGATTCATTTTTGTGTGAGCTATCATTTTGAGAAAGGGCACATGTTGAATTTATGATTCATTACACATTCACAGAACATACGCTTGTAAGTGCCTCTTATGTACTGGGCATTATGGGAAATACTGAGAGTAAATGATGAAAAGAAATAGTTCCTATCAAATCAGATGATTTTTAATGACATTCAGTTTCTCTCATTCTATTTCAGTTATGTAATCAGATGGACTTTTTTAAGTTTTTGGACAAATAGATATTTTTATACAGTATTATAATTATATTAACTGTTATATTTTGAATTCTATAATGGAAGACATCAAAGTATAAAACCATCGCAAGAATACTGGGGCCTTTTATATTTGAGTTAAACTTTAAAAATGTCTTGGCCTCATAAACTGTTTCTGAAAGGAAATTTTCACCATTTTAAATTTATTAGAAACTGATGTCAACATTTCCATTCAAAACTACAGAATTCCTGACAATATTCTATGTGACAACTGCAGGAAGGGCACTTCTAGACTTTCAGAAAATAACTCCCAAATGAATGTAACATTCAAATAAAGTTTCTCTGGTTTACCTTCCTGGAATGAAAATTGTATATTTTTGCTCAAAAATCTGTAATTTAATAGAGTAAGAGATAGCTGTTCACTATTTCCTAATAACAATAACAGCTTTTGCGAGATAAGAAAAAAGGCCTAAAGTTCTGCAGGAAAAACAGGCTATCTTGCACCAGAATGAAGGGACCTAGAAACACTCCAAACCCACTAAAATGCAACCTCATTGCTGAAAAACTTTTTAAAATTACAGTTGGACTGTGTATAACTGTGTACAATATTGGTCCCAATGAGGAAAGAGTATTAATAAGAACGATGATACTACAGACCTATATTGTGTTTACTAAGTGACAAACACTTCTTATATATATAAATACAGATTGTTTCATGTTGTAATTTAAAGAAACAAAACAAAACAGGCAATCTTGTCTTTTCCTGTTAAAATCCTATGGTTAGCAATCGCTAAAGAAATATGAAGTCTCCAGGAAAAAGTGCGTGGTATTGTCTAATTCTTTCCAAACATGTAAACAGAACAAAGGGGCAGTAGTTTCAGAATGGCTGAACTAAGCAAACCAGTATAGGTTCTTTTTTGAAATATATAAAATCCTTCACACCTCATTATAGTATTTTTTTCAGGCACTGGGCTTGGCTGTAAGAAGATTAATCACTGGGGTCAGAAGTCAATCCATACGATGAGAAGTTCCTCCAGGAAAAGCCCTGTTTGCAAACCAGCTAGCTCAATCCTGATTACCCATCTGTTAAAACTTTACATTTATGACAAAGGAATTGAAGACACACACTGAAACTGGTTGACTGATTTTTAGCTTCCTCTCTGATTAGCCATTTAGAGGCCACAAAGGGACAGGAACACTAGTAGTTTGTTTCCCCAGTTTTTCACCTATGGAGTTTGTTATTATGGAGCTTGTTGGATTTAACAATGATGGGAAGTTGTAGTCATGTCCCATTATTTAGGAATAAAGACAGGAATCTATCTTTGACTAGATTTAGTTCTGATTCTTCAACTGGTACAGAGGGTAAGGCTAGTTAAATTAAGACCTTTCCTACAGTTACTTATATTGTGAAATTTATTCAAAGAGCACATTAATATAACCTTTCAAAATCACAGATCTTCACTTATGCAGTAAGTCAGTGGATTTTGGATAATGAAAAGCTGGGATAACTCAAACCATACAAATTTTACTTCTTGCCTTCTCCATTAGAATATACACATTGGAAATCCAAGTTCCAAACATTTCCTCTACTGAAGACAGTGAGACTCAGTGTGAGCCATCTAGGTACAACTATTTGAATGTTTATAGAACACTGACCCTTGATGATGGGAGAGATTTTAGTTAAAAAAATATAATTATATTTAAAAAACCCTAAATTGACCCAATTAATTTTCAAAATAAGAGTTGATCCATGTTTTCAGTTTATTGCCACACACAAAACATTTTATAAAATAATAGGGTAGATTTCTACTTCAACATCTTCATGTAAAAACTTCACAGTGCAAGAAAGTGATCACTATTAAGCATGAAGACATCTAAAGCCAGCCAGCATTTTAAGGATAGGGCAGAATATTTTTGCGAATCTTCTTAAAAAATGTTGGCACATTTATTAAATGCCCAGGTTATAAAAAAAATCACTCAGTATCCACTTCTTACCCTTCTGTATACTTCTGTATCTACATGGCATCACACTAAATGCTGGTGGACAAAACAGTGTAAGAGTCTAAAAACTTTTCAGGTAGCACAATGATTTGAAACCATCGAGGAGAATGCTAACCCCCAAATATTTTTGTATGTAATTTTCTGTCCATTACCACATAACAAAGTAAGAAAGCTGTTATACCTTAAAAAGAAGCTGAAGGAACACATCTCACTTTTGCTTTAAAAACATCATTTCTTAGCTCATAAATAGAGAAAAACTGTAATTTGGGGGGGAGAGGGAAAGTGTTTCATAAATAAAATACCAACTTTATGTCAGTTGTACAAATGTCTTATTTAGGAAAGAAAGTATTTTGATTCAAAGGATTCTAAAATATTTCATCATTACCAAAAAAGTGTAATTTAAAGCTAAAAAACTGTAATACCTTAAATTAATATAAATCATCCACTAGCATATCCTATTATTTTTTCATAAAATCCATAATTAAGGAACGATAGATTGGGTAAAAGATCTCTTTTTCCAAACATTTGGTCAAATTAGCTAAGAAGCCCTGGGCAAATCACACACCCTGAGTCTCAGGACTATCACCTCTCACATGAGGATCCTGGACTAACTGTCCTTTTCCATCCCTGATTTACAAATTTATATAGAATTATTAAACTTACGTAATCCTTTTGAGAATGAGGTATTTCAACCCAATGCATTTTCCAGATAAAATTCCCACATTTAAGTAGTAAAGCTGTTATTTAAATATCTAGAATCTTACTTCAAAATTTATTTTCAGTATATTTCCCTGTCACCTTAAAAGTTGTGGTATGACTAACAGCATAGTCTCCTAACTTCAGGGTCTACCAGATTCGGCGGCTGACAGCGATCAGCAGAGACAGCTCAGGTCCTGACTCCAATTCTGTACAGCTTTAGGCCACACTTTGAGTCTCAAAACAAGGATGATACCACCTGCTCTATATCTGTTATAAAGCCCAACAGAGTTATCATATTATACCAAAGTATTTGTAAGCTACAAATCACCATATGAATGCAAAGAATTGTTGAAAAGCCCTAGTTGAATTTTCCCTGATAACAAAGTCTAGATATTTCTTATAAAATATATGTTCTTCATCAATACTTATGCATTTATGGTTCTGATTCTTTGGTTACCTGACTGTTCTCATGTAGTCAATTTGTCTCCTGCTTTTGCACCAGGGCTGAGAGTGCTGGTCTCTCCTGGAGTCTAGAAGCCTGACCTTGCAATAAGTGAAAATCAAAACCTAAAGATCTCTCTTGCTTTAGCAAATGTGGTATCATGACTTACTTTAAAAGAGTGGTTTCCTAACTAGGTGGGGCATCAGACTCACCTGGGAAGCATTCTAAAAATTGAGATTTCTGGGCTCCAGCCATGGAAAGTCTGATTCTCTATGTCTGGAGTAAGACTGAGAAAAATTCTGTCTCTCCAAAGCTCCCCCAGGTAATCTCAATAATCGATAGTTCAATTTTGTGGACTCACTGCTTTGACCTTATTTTCTTCTCTAGAATTTTAGCAGCTGCTGGTTTTAGTATAAAAATTTCCCCCTGCATTAATCACAAGCACATTCAGAGTAGATTGCCTACGATCTTGGCTTAGCTCCATAGGGAACCTATTACAATCCTCTGCAGTGAAATTAAAAAATGAAAAATCAACTTCAGAGTGAATATGATACATGTAGACGCTGAAAGGCGGCTGGTGCTATGTTTATAGGGCAACTGTTTTCCGCTTTACTTCTCTACTTAGTCACTGGTATATCCGAAGACCATCTTATTACTGTTGTCATTACACATTAATAAAGGATGGCAGAATTCCAAAGGACAGGTGGATGGCTAACTAGCTAATCAGGATCATTAAGAAAAGGTTTCTAACACACATAAATGAAAAGTTTTTTAAAAACCACACAGCTTTCTGTAGAAACCCAAAGAGTTCCATGCTTCTGAAGTCTACCATAAAGAGGAAAGTTGACCAAAACTACAGTTGTTTAAAAATATGCTCAATTAACTGTGAAAATATAAGTGCAAAATAGGTACAATTTCATCTTTTAGGAAGTTTAACAGACATAAATGGAATTCACTTTCCATTTATTCTACCCAAATAGTTAATTTTGAAAGTAACATGTGAAGTATTTGGTATAATGTAGTTCTGAACGTCATCCCTTCCAAATTTAATACAAAAGCCACATTTGGATTTTCCAGATGTCCCAAGTGTATCTAGGCACTGCGAAATGTTGTCATGTCTTTTGGTTCTCTGCTGGGGACACACCAGTCATCGGCCTCATGGTTAGTGTTGTAATGCTTCCAGGCAGCTTTGTTATATACTGGGAGTCTCTCTATCGATTCTGTTGACAGAGCCTGAAAGAAAAAGTGGGACCTAAGTCTGGCATTTCTTTTAGAATCCACTATTTCAGAAAGTATACAGTGGCAAAAGGTTACTCGAAATTAAACAGTGCTTTATTGGATTTGTATTTTACTAATCATTCACACCATCTACATACATTTTGAAACAGTGTACATATTTGCAACCCATTATTTACTAAGTGTATGGCACTGCTTGGTGTGCACATTGATTTTTTTTGTTTGTTTGCAGTAATTGTCCAACCAGCCTGGAAGCTGCTGGATTGAAATTTTACACAGGTATAGGAGATGCCTCTTATAAAAACATGACCCAGAACAGAAGGTTAACTGAAAAAGTCATTTAAGTGTAAAAGCATAAAAACTGACATATGCACCTTAATACACATAATTGTAAAATCATTTCATGAAATCTATTTCAATTATTTGTTAGAAGAAATACTATTTTTTCCAGCATAGTCATGGACTTAAAAAAGTCATCATAACAATATTATCAATAAATACAAAACTATGTCTAAGGCTTTTGATTGAAAAATTCTTGGCCTTGGGTTTGCTCCTGTGTCTTCTCCATCTATTAGAGCCACCAATTTCAGGTACAGTGGATGTGATATCTGCATTGTGCATCGTTTCATGTCTCTAACATATTATTACCGTTGACTCACTGTTCTATCTCAGCTTCCTGCAAATCTTTGGGACCTGAGATAAACCATGTTCCTCCCTATCTTCTTCAAGTTAAGATATTTCAGTAGGATTCTGACCTTAAGCCATGGGTGTTCCCCAAGATGTAGAAAATATTGAACAGGAAATTTCATTCCAATAATGGTAAGGGAAAGTCTTTGACCATTGATTTTAATCTTTTTTTTTTTTTAAGTAGGCTTCACACCCAGCATGGAGCCCAGTGGGGGCTTGAACTCATGACCTGAAGATCAAGACCTGAGCTGATATCAAGAGTCAGATGCTTAACTGATTGAGCCATTCAGGAGGCCCCTGATTTTAATTATTTTATAAGATTCCTGTCTTCTATTTTTTCCAAAGTGGATTAAAAACCTTTCACCTGTGTATTCTCTTTATGCCAGAACTGCCAGAACCCCTTGATCAATGGGCTAGATAAAAAAATGTTACGTTTGGTGATAAAAATGTTACCTTCACGTTGCCCTTTTCAAGTTACTCACAATTGAGATGGCTTTAAAGACAAGGATTATTATCTTGAAAGAATTTAACCTTTTCGGATAAACTTATTTTTTCCATTATACAGTCTTCACCATTTCCTATAAAATAGGTGCCATCTAGTGGCCAGAACAAGAAACTTGAGTCACTAAATTAGGTACCAACAGCCCACTGCTTAACCAATCCAGTGGGCTGATGGGACTCGGTTGCTCTCGAACACTGTAAAATATGCTGAACTCTGATAAACACAGGGAACATCACAGGCCAGCAGACTAAGTGCTTCTGCTCCCACCAGGTGAGCTCTAGGCTTGCCAAGAGTCCCCTGTGCTTGTTCCCAAATCTGTTTATGCACTTAACATCTGTCATTATAATTACATAATTTAATCAAATATTGCTTAAACAAAATGCAAAAAAAAGGAGGAGGGTCAGGGGAGATTCTTTGAAAACCAAGATGAATGCTTTGGAAAGACTCCTGAAGGAAAGTCACATAAAGATTGCTGTCAAATCTGAGTCAGAAGACATCTATAAAGGACTACCTATAAATCAAAAAAGATTATGCAGTTGGTTGTTTCTTTGTCTAAATAAATCAAAACAATGCGTTTTAAGTATAGCTTCTGCAGGAAAGACAACTGAAGCTTGAATCTGCAGACTCATGTACAAAGACCCTGCAGTACATCAAAAGATTGGGGGATCAATGGCCATTCGTGTGTTTTATATTAAAATTAAATTTGTGTGATATGTAACTTATGATTCCCCACTTCAGCCCGACTTTTTTTCTGTTAACAATCACAGTCCTGATCATTACATGTGAGAGTGTGCCCTTTCCCCCAGTCAAGGAGATCATTTGTGAAAATAGATGAGATCATATGTAAGAACCACATTCTTGTATTTTAATAGCGATGAGGTAGAAGAAAATTTCATTACAGCTAGATACTGGCACCTTTTCTTATAACCAAAAAAAGTATCATTAAATCAAAAAGACTACAGTTGTTACCTTAATGTAGATGACTGCATCTGTCCCATAGCCCTCTAAAGAATATAGCTTTAGGTCTCCTTGGAAGTATTGGGCGTAAAGACGTGATATGGGCAATCCATAGCCAAAACCGGCCTGTTTGATGAGAAAAGTGAAATTCTACTCAGAAAGCCACACACTGAAATACTTTTCTAGTTAAAATAAATGCTTCTGAGTATCCTAGGGCTATCAGAGCCTGCATCTAAGAGATCGTTAATACCTAACCACTAATACGGATCAAGCTGAAGCCAAGCTGGGGTACTACACTAGATGACTCCCCTCTGGTCATTTAAAACTCGTTTTTCTTTTTTCTATAAAATGACTCATGTAGATATAGAACAGCATGTTGCTTTTCTTTGCTGCCTTGCTCTAGGGTATCCTAATACTGCTTTTGGCAATATCACATAAAACATATTCTCTCTTTTAGGAGCAAGAGTAGAAAAAGCTTTGTTGGCAGTCTCAGAGATACATCTCTTGACTTCATACCATGAATTTCCAGCCTGTGTTCCGAACCTGGATAGATCAGTAGTAAGTCCACTTTGTTACTGACAAATTACTACCCTGTTTAAAAACCTACAAAGCATATCACCATCAATACCATGCCCTACCTACCTACCATCCCCAAACCATTGCCCGGAGATAAAAATTCAAGCTTCTAAAAAGAACTTTCAAGACTTCATCAGATCAGGTCTCTGCCTCCCACTTTCTAATCCAGCGGGACCCAATCGCCAGCTCTTAAGTTCCTCAAACAAATGTTATTTTTCATTTCTGTGTCTTTGTTCATCCTGTTTCCAGTACCTGGAATGGCCTTCTAAATAAATCCTACAACTTCTTTAATACAAAGCAAAACATTTGGACAAGTATGAAAACAGTTTTTATCACCAAGCCAGACGTTCAATGATATTACATATAACACTTTAGTTAAGAGCTTATGTGGACTCAGGAATCAGAGTGCTATTTATAAATGCAGGCTTTGGCTTCATCTACCTCTACTGTTTATCACTTGGCTTTTCTAACCAGAGTTTCTGTTTACCCCTCCAAATCAACTATCCATTCTCCACATGACTCCTTGCCCTGGGAGGATGCTATCAACAGATTCCCCTGCCCTCTGCTTCCAGTGGGTCCAGCCAATGGGGAACCCAGTAGGAGTTCAGAGGGAGTCAAGTCAGGGTATTCATTCCCCTGTTTCATTCCCGCTGAGGTTTGCTTCCCTTGGGGTTAGACCACTTGAGCACAAGGGGCTGCTCTGTTAAAGTCCCTTCTGGGTTCTGCTAACTTCTTCTCCCTTTGATTCGGGGTGGTGACAGCTCTCGGGCTGCCATCCCTGGATCCCTGTCCTATCCCTGCCCACAGCGCTGTGATTTAAACATCCCATCCCTCCCTCACTTCTTAGAGTAAAATCAGAACCTAAGAAGGTGCTCATGCTTATTATTTGACCGTGTCTGCCTGTTGGTGCATGGATGCATATCTACCTCAATTTGAGAGGCACGGTCCTGGTGTAATCATTTTACAAGTATGATAAGACATGAACTAGATTACAGTTCTAGTTACAGAATCTGTGCTGTGTAACAGGTACAACTCTAAGTCCTTCTAGTAAATTCTTAGGAAGAATCTAAAATAGATCCATCTATTTTATATTCTTATTCATACTGCATTTATACTGCATTTCATCATGTTATAGTGTAACTCCAGTATCTATGCCAGGGAAGTTTCAAAGCCCGGAAGAGTAGTTCTCCCTAAGTTACAGGTCAGAGATTTGGCAAAGTGCTTTTCTAGGGGTTTTAGAGGGCAAGGATGGAGTGAATTCAAAAGTTGATCGCATGAAACCTGAAAACAGGTGACTGAGATCAATAAAAAATACCACCACCACAATTATAATTTGAGCCTTTTCCAGGTTGGCAATTAAGCGATCAGAACTCTAGTCTTTTTTCTGAGTCTAGATTATGAGATTTTTCTAATTACAAGTACTTGAGGAAAAAAAAAAAATCAACACTGAAGATTAAATCAGTGTTGACCAAAAATGCTGGCAAAACCAGTAACTTAGTCTTCATATTAGACATAGTATATCAAAATGTGGTTGACTGCATGAAACTACTGGCATATCACTATCAGGCTTGGCAATAGGGACTGTGAAAAAATACTCTGTCTTGTGCTCTTTTCAATCAGAAGAAGAAATGAGCCAAAGGCTGTTTAAATTCAGAGGAAAGTGTTTTTTCTAATAGCTTCCTTTCTCCCTCATGGGTACTTTACACAATTGCTAAACTGATTTATTTGGTAGTCATTTGATTTTTTTTTTTTTGGCAACTCACAGAAACACACTCAATTCTTTCTTTCTTCTTTTTTTATACTTTGTTATTTCTTGACCACATACCAGGGGCACTGCTCGGGACGTCTCAACACGAGGCCGGGGTGCAGTTGAGTACATGTAGTTGAAGAGTCTGTCAATTTTCCTCAAAGGAACACCACCTCCTCGGTCACTCATCTAAGGTGAGAAAGGATCATGCCTTATGACCAAGTCCCATACACAGCAAAACACCAACACACACTCAGTGTCACCGTTTAATTTATTGCTTGCCTGCCTGCCTCCCTCCCCCCAAGATTTTTTAATTTATTTATTTGAGAGGGAGGGAAGCACGCAGGCAGGAGCAGGGGGAGGCAGAAGCAGAGGGAGAAAGACAAGCAGACTCCCCAGTAAGTGCGGAGTCCCAGGTGGGCCTTGATCCCACGACCCTGAGATCATGACCTGAGCCGAAGTCAGCCGCTTAATGGACTGAGTCCCCCAGGTGCCCAAGGAAAGTACTGCTTTTCAAGACGAGTACCATGCAATCCAAGTTGTGAGTGTAAACATTTTCTTCACCGGTAGACTTCATCAAACTCCTCCAATATGCACAATTCTAATACATAATAAGCTCCATCATAATGTAGAGTCAGTGCTGTGGCTCTGTATATTCACTGGTTGTACACGAACAGTGCAGTGAGCACAGAATGGGGCATAAACTAAGTCTATCTTGGATGTAACAATAAATTTGTTATTCCTCTCTGGTGGGCGGTTTGGCAATCAGATTCAAAATGCATGAACCCTTTGACCCAATGGTGTTTATCCTAAAAAAATAATCAAAGACGTATGCAAAGTATGTACGAGAATATCCATCACAGCACTACGTAGAATAGCTAAAACTGGATTATAACCTAAATAAGGGACTATTTAAGTAAACTAATGCACATTCTAAAATAGAAAACTATTAAGCCATGAAGTATTATGTAGAACTGTAGGTACCGGCATGAGAGGTCCACACGATATTGTTCAGCAGCACAGACCCCCAGACAACTTTCTGCTGAGTTTACAGAGTACACTGGTCTTTGTACTCTTCTAATGTCATTTCTCAACTCAAATCATATGGTGGGTTGAACTTCGTAATTTATTTACAGACTATTTTCATTCTGTTTTCCTTTACAGTTAACATGGCCTTATTTTAATTATTGTACAGTTCACATTCTCATCTACTACAGCCATTTTCCTTTGTCACAAAATCTAAATTGATTCTATTATCTATAACATTAATATACAAACTAATCTGCTTTAATGTGTGTGTGCGCATGTGCGTGGTATACATATATATGAATGAATGAGTAAATTGGTAGACGGCTAGATAGTGTTGAATGATTAAAAAGCCAATAGGCTGGGGGTGCCCGGCTGCCTTAATTGGTAGAGCATCCAGCTCTTGATCTCGGGGTCATGAATTTGAGCCCCATGTTGGGCGTAGAGACTACTTAAAAAAATGAGATAAAAAAGACTTGATCACAAATAAGTTTAAAAGAGCATTATTTAAAAAAAAGGTCAACAGGCTGGATGGCTTATAGTTGAGTTTTTATATGATCTTCAAATATCTTTACAACATGCATATATATTACTTTCATAATGAAAATGACATAGATGAAATACCACTTGAAGGCTTGCCTCTGATACATCTACAATTAGAAAAATTATAGTATAAAAATATAAAAGACTTTAATCAGAACTTGTAAGTAAGCATGCTTGAAATTGTTCTTGGCTATGAATTCAAAGTCCAGTGAAGAGATTTATTTTCGTAAGATTAATAGAGTTCTGGGTATCTTCTGAGATCCATCAATTTGTTAATTATTCATCCTTTAATGTTCTGCTGCACATTTACTGGTAACATGAGTAAGAAGTGTGGGTGTTTTATAAAGTAAGTAAACAATATATTAGAATAGATATTAAGATAAAAAGGTAGACTTCAATAAATATTTCCTGGTTTTCCTTAACCATTGGCCAGAAAGACAACAGCAATCTTGTATGAAACAAGAAGTAATTTCTAGCTAGAGGCCAGTATTAGAAAAGGAGAGAGCTGAGAAGAAAGGACAGAGGTGACTTTGAGAAGTGTTCTCTTATTAGAGGTGAAGGGGGTAAACCAACCCTAAGAATGTAGTTAAAAACTGATAAAAGTAACCTCCTTTGCTTTGCAGCCAAACACACAATAAACTGGAACGAGTAGATTTTTGAAGTGGTCAAAAGAGTTTCCAAGGGAATTTTAACAGATGATATTATGCCAGAGGATTTGAGTTCTTTGGAAAAATGGGAGGAGGGATTAATGGGAGAGAGGGACAGACAGTTGGTCTGTACATATTTAAGAATGACAGTCTGATGACAAATATGTTGGGAAAGACATGTGAAAATTAAACAAAAAATTCCTGATTAAGATAACTTGAAGAAAAAATCTAGAAGCATCAGAAGAAGCCTATGCCAAGGAAATGTGAAGAGATGAAAGAGACGGGTGGTGTGGAATAATGTCAACAGCAAGGCTGAGAAAGAGAAGTTTGCCAATTATTTTTAAAGTTTTCTCTTTAGTGTATGAAATCACCACCTCTCAATGTCATCTAACCAAGAGTTGCCATCCCTAACTTCCTGTTCCACATAATAATGGCCTCCCTGGGCTAATGTGTGAATTTCAGGTCCAAGGGAAATGAACCACTAACTTGTTGACTGTTCTAAAGGCAGGAGATTTACTAACCCTGAACTCACCCAGAGCTCCTGAAGTCTCAATGTCAAGTTTGTAAAATCACCAACAGGGAATGAACCAGGACATTTACATTTTAAAAGACATGTGGCTGTAACATTTATGTTATTTACTGAATATAGCACAAACACCAAATCTAAAAGAGTAGCGGGAGTCATCGGCCAGAAAAAACCAACTCTCTCACAGGATTCTTAGCAGAGGGAAAAAGGGTGGAAAATGTCAAAAATCTGAAAAAGCTAAAAGAATGGGAAGAAAGACTATATAAAGACTATTTAAAAACAACTATATGCCACCCTGTTGACTTTTTAATACATTATCATTCAGCTCTAGTTTTCTCTCTACGTATCTACAGAGGTTAAAAGCAGACCTTGATCCTGAAAATCTAGTACTAGTGATGGGGATGAAAACTCTACTGAAGAAAATTAAAGCAAGCATTTAACAAGAGCAGATTCGGTCATGTGACCTCAGATGTGTGGAAGAAGAGCAATATATGGAGGAACCTAATACAGGTAGGGCTTTCACAGGGGCTTCGAGAACAGTGTGTTCCAGACCCTTATAAGTCTTTCCTTTTTTTTTAAATAGCTTTATTGAAGTAATTCATGTACCATAAAATTCACATATTTAAAGTGTGAAACTCGATGGTTTTTAATATATTCGTAGATAGGTAAATTCTAATTAGAATTTTTTATTACTTCAAAAAGAAACCCTGGACTCTTTATTGGTCAGACTCCTAAGCAACCATTTATCTGTTTCTTGTCCCTATACATTTGCCAACTCTGGACATTTCATATAAATAGAACTGTATGATATGTGGCTTTTTGTGATCGGTTTCTTTCACTTAGTGTAATCTTTTTAGTGTTGTGGCAGCCATGTCGTAGCAGGTACCCATACTTCATTTCCTTTCATGGCCCAACAATATTCCATTAGATGGCTATACCACATTTTATTGATCTCTTCATCAGTTGATGGACACTTGGGCCTTTCCAGTTTTCAGCTATTATGAATAATGCCTCTATGAACCTTCATGTATAAATTTTTGCTTGAATATCTGTTCTAATTCCCTTGGGGTATATACCTAGGAATGGAACTGCTGGGTCATTATGAAACTTTCTTGAACCAAAGAGACAGATTCCCCAAACAAAGCCAGTCCACCAGCACAGGCCAAGTCTCTGGTAAGTGTCTAAGAATTCGGTGAATCTTGATCCATGCTGTGATGGATGACCACAAGTAAAAGAAAACAGCTACAGACCAACATGCAAAAGCACATGAAAGACAAAACAGAAAAAGGTTATGAAAAAGACCATGCTGTAGCACAACTGATGTCCCAAAGCAGAAGACATGTGGGATTTATTTTGAATCAAGTAAACCTTAACGAGCAAGCAGCTGACACATAACTAACGAAAAAATAGACACATATTAGCATCTGGGCTGAAAAAAAGTGATGCAGTCACATTACTTTTTTAGCAAACAGATGGCATTTGCCATATATTTATTTGTGCATCACTCTTTTTAAATGAACAGCCAAGAGAGATAAACAGAAAAAAGAAACTCAGAGGAAACAGTGTAGAGAGTTAAGGCATATTCATTTTTTTTTTAAAACAGCTATTATTATCCTCAGAGTGATAAAAGAAGATAAAACTAAACAATACTATTAAAAAGGAATAATAAAAAATAGAAATTCCTGGAAATTTGTAAGATAATAGAAATGAAAATTCAATAGAAGAGTTGGGAATTCAAAGTTGAGGGCATCTCACAGAGTAGAATGAAAAGTTTAAAGAGATAAAAAGCAGGAGAAGAAAGATACGAAAAATCAGAGGATCAATTCATGAAGTCCAACATCCTCCAAATAGGACTATCAGAAAATGAAGCAGTAGGGAAGAAAGTACCAAAGACACAGTGGAAATTCTAAAGGGTCCAGCTCAATGAGTAAGAAAAGACCCACACTAAGTCACATCATTATGAAATTTCAGAACAGAGCTGAAGAAAAGATCTTAAAACCTTTAGTTAAAAGAGACAAAACAACAAAACCTGACACTTAAAACTGGTCATATACAAAGGAACAGGGATTGGAATAAGCATAAGTCTTCTCAAAAGGAATAGCAGGAGTTACGTCAGCAAAAATAGTGGAAAAAGGAAGTGTCTTAACCATCAAAGCACCAAGAAAAAGACAAATACTGTCAGAATCAACTTTGTTCAGAACTCTAGAAAGTAACCAAAGGCTTGCAGCAATCTGGGGAGCATTTGGTCAAGAAAAACAATGGACTCTGTGGTATTTTAACTTGCCTTATTCCCACCCCCATTTCCACCCCCATCCGTAACATGGAATCAGAGTGAAACTGGCAGCCTGGCAGCCACTGGGAAGGCTATCGTTCTTTGGCCTGATTCTGCACTCCCCAATGCAAAAAGTCTTGTATGCACCCACTTCCCATCGTCAGAAACATTTGTC